ACACTTTGGATGGAAACCCTAATGAGAACTGGCCAAGTTTGATGGTAGATTCTAGTAAATAAGAACTATAAATTTAACTCAAAGACAGCTGCTCTGAACAATAGGTCTGCCAATATACTTTGGATTTATAGGCCAAAAATATGACTGTTCCACATCTCTTCCTTTTACTATAAATGGTTTTGGGCTTAGTGACAATGTGCAATTCTGCTCCTTAAGCCAGATATCCATTTCTCATTTGATAAATAGAAAAGTTTTCTACTAAAATTTCACAAATGCCAGGACAAGTTTTCGTGATACATGTGTCCATGTATTCCAAGATGGGAAAAAACCTCTCTGAAATGCCAGGAAGTTCCCAAGAAAACTACTATCTCGACTCTTACAGTCACCCGCATGCCAGGAAATGCCAGTTACAGTAGCTCATATACCGATGGCTAATTTCTATTTTCACCTGGAAATACTGAAGCCTGTTTCACCACAACTTCTAGCACATGACTTATGTTGCTTCCTGTATCACATCCACAATTAGTGGTATCCACGTATTATTGTCAAGGCTCTTATAGCATCTCAAATGACATTTCCCTCCATGTAGGAAACTTCTGGAAGATGTCACTACAATCATTCCCAAGTAAAGTTTGAACTGTAAATACCAGTCTTCCCATAACCATAAAAAGAAGCACAACAGTGAAAATTAGTTTCTGTTCATCTCTGCAGCACTGACACAAATTTGAAGCTCCCTTCAACAGCAGAATCTGTTGAGAGCTCTCAAACACTTAACTAGATTCATTTGTTAAACGAGAGCAGAAATGGATGTTTATAACAGCTAAACATCTTACCATCTACAGGTTGTTTTTTTTCTTCCAACAGCCTGAGTACTTCTGAATGTGGCAATTTATGCATTGAAATGAGAAGATGAAAAGGTAATAATTGTCAATTCACACTTCAAACAGTCACAAAGTCGTTCAAGTCATTCTAACAATACATCATCTTTCCACTCAAAAGCTAAATCTTCCTTGAAGAGCCAGAACCAAGCCAGTGCAGTTCTGCTGAAACAAATACCCTCCACCCCTGAACACGCAGGAGTTTATATACGACAGCGAGTGAGAGGTTCAGACATCCCAGCTACAGTGCTCACGCAGCCTTGCAAGGGGCTGCCCTGAGGCAGGGGAAGGGGCTGAGCATCCCTCAGTCAGTGAGAAGAGACTCACGTAGGAGTCACCACTACCTCATTCTCATCGAACATCACAGAAACACTCAGAGTTTGGTATTTTCCTTCCCAAAGGGGCATCTGGCTCCTACCCACTGCTGCAGACCTCTCGGGCACATGCTCCCACCCCAGCACTGGTGGTTCTTCACTCCCACTCCTTCCTGCATGGGGGCCATACCCATAACACTTTGGGTATGGGCAGACCTATAAAACTAGACTCAATCATTTTTTCTTAGTCCTGACGGGATGCCTGAAGTGACTCCTCAAGGCCAGGCGAGTACCAGCCCGTGCAGACACAGGGGCAAGGGAAGAGACGGCAGGACTGCAGGAGTGGCAGCTATGGCCTGACTTACCACTGACATGCTAAACTGTATTTAAAGTCTTTGTGAACACATCTGTTACTGAAGGGATGAAAATTAAATTCAAAGTTAATATGCAAAATGAATACTGGTAACGTTAAAGATGAACTCAAATGCAGTGGTGCACATTTCAGACCTTAATGCAATTAAAGGTTAATGGAAGTTGCTTTCCTTGGCACTTCATGCACTTATTGTAAATGTCGGATTTCACCATTTCCTCTGTACTGCCACTTTTCCTTTCTCATTTGAACTTAAAAAACAGGAAAATAGTTACCAAGTCACAGAAATTACCAGGGGATCAGGGGGAGTACAGTAGCCTAGAAAGACTAGGCTTGCTTTTGTGATGAGCCCACTGTTCGACAAGTGTTTCTAACACCACTAGTGCACGAACAGCTGTCTAACAGCAGAAAAATTGGGTACAGCATGGTGTACATGCTGTATCATATCATATCATATCGGCCACACCATTTGTTGCCATCAAGTATTCTGGATGCCAAGAGGGTCTCTATCTGGTATTAACCCATGCAACAGTAGCTCCTGTGAGAGAGAAACTGAGTTTTTAGGATTGAAAAATTTTTAAATTCAAAAGAGTCTTGGTAAAAGCAGTTAAACACAGAAACTCCGTGAACAAACCCTGACAGCTAGAGCACGAAGGTATGATCAGAGGCAGCTGTTAATGCTAACAACTCCAGGACCACGCTTGCAACAAACATTTGAACTCAGGCAGAGTTTTGTGAGATCCCTGCTCAGCCAGAATCAGCACAGCAGCATTGCTCAATCTCATTTAACCTTTCAACAGCAGCCTCTCAACGTCACTCCAGATGGGCTGGCTGCATTTTTCACAGACTTCATCACCAGCAAATCCTGATGGCATTCACAGCAACTTTCAACTTAGGTGCAGAAATACATTGGGACCTCTTAGGAGAAAAAGGAAAGCAAACCCTCGCAAACCCAACAGCTGAACCACCTCCCAGTAACTTCAGCTTTGCAGGGAAACAGAGAGGATGAGGCAGGTTTTGCCAAGAGGCTCAGGCCTTGAGCATAGCTTCTAAGTGACCCAATAGCTCACTCCAGTCCATTTCTCCATTTGGCCAGGTCCTTGACCCTGTCCCACACTTGCACTGGCTTCTGACCAAACACCAGGATGGTCCACATCATTAATTTGGCAAATAAATGCTCTCTCTTTGGCTGGGTTAGCTTTCTGCTAGTTGCAAACCGAAACAGCCTTCACAGGGACAGAGGGGTCAAGAGCAGGGCCCTTCTCTGGTTCCAACAAGCTGTTTCACAGCTTACACTGCATCGTGTCACCTCACACTTGCTCCAGTGCAATGAATGGAAGCACAGCTTTGTTCTTCATGTAATCAGCTAGGCAATAATATTTTTTTTTTTAAATCAGAAAAGCTGAAGCTGCTTTCAGTTGGCTCTGCAGTAAAGCTATGAGCCCCTGCCTTTGAGCTAAAACCTAACTCCAAGTTTTTCCCCAAGTTTATCCAAAGAGTTTGAAAACTACATCGAAGGGGTCCCCAAGAGATACTTCAAGAAAATGAACATATGGCCACTTGAGATTAAGTTAGTTATACCAGACTCCACTCCTGACCAGAAAGAAAAAAAAAATGAAACCACACAACCAACAAACAAAACCAAAAGAAACCACAAAACCAAAACAACTCTTCCTCAACACACAGGAAATCCTACAGGTATTTCCCCCAGCCAACCAACAGATTCTGAGGATTCAGAAGCATTGTCCTTGGAAAGGAGAGAACAACCCCCATACCAATAACTGCTATGAAAGTACATCAGTATATCGTATTTAGCCCAGTTTCACATGCTTAGACTTAACTGTCCAAGATTACTAATTCTGTGCAATTTGACAGAAATATTTTTTTTTTTTTACATCTGCAAAAGAATAATGAAGAGGAAGGAACAGCAAAATTACTAGATTCCTCCATGCAGCTCTCTCTTCCCTTCATCTTCAACACTGCTGGGTTTTTGCTGGGTTTTGTTTGGTGGTGGTTTTTTTTTCTGTTTTGTTTGTTTTGTTAAGAATCATTCCCATTATTCTAAAAAAAAAAAAAAAACCACCTAAATTTCATAATCATGTTTAGATTAAGTGACCTGCAAAATAGCCTGGAAGAAGCAAATACATAAGACAGGCTTCTTCTGAGTAAATATCAGATTGTTAGAATATACCTATATTTTAAAAAGTTGCAATACAAAATACTTCTAGGCCAAGACATATAATTATAAAAGTTAGCAAAAATCAAGGTGCTTATTATATAGTAATTAAAAGACTGCAGAGAAGTTTAGCAGTGAGAATTTCACATATAAACTTTGCAATTTCATATTAGATGACAGGCATCCAAAAATCTTGTATCAAATTGCTTTGAAGATCTTAAACAACTTCCTTAGCAGAGAAAGTTGTTCCAATCAAGAGTTTAAAAACACCCAACCAAACCCACACAACTGGCTAAGAGCCACTGCTCTTACTGAGTTGAACCCAACTTGGACTTAAGTGCAGTATTTTTAGATGAAATGAGAGTGAAGAGATATTCTCTTCTTGTGATATAATGTTACATTTCTGGCAGTATACTAAACCAACTCTGTGCTTTTTTTTTTATAGCAGACTATAAAAACTACCACATATCAGAACAGCTGAAATAAAATTGATACCAATCTTGGAACATCTGTTATAAATGCAAGAGAAATTGCTATTAAAGCCTGCATCAACTGTCGCAGTGTAAATAATGTGTTGTACGCAGTGTAAATAACACAGTTATAGTTTCCTTAACTTCAGATTTTTCTTCTTTCCAAAGTTTTCAAAGCAGACCAAAAGCTTCTAGTGTAATATCAAACTGATTAGGTCATTATGTATGTCACACAGACTAGAACAAATAAACATTAAACCATATTAGATTAATTCCACTCTAAATTCCAGGTACATTTCTAAATTTGTTTTTAAAATGAAGTGTTAATAATTTTAAGACACCACCAATAATGCAGGACTCTCTACAATCATTTTAATTCACACTTTATTCTGAATAGCTCAAAAACTTATCTACCCCTTTTATACGCTTCTGTCCAATGTCAAATAAAGCAAGGCCATCCAGATTTTCTGTTGAAACTAGTTTTTCCTACAAAGGCAGAACTTGAAGTATATACTTGGAAAGGTGCTCAGCCCCACAGGACTTGGACTGCAAACATTTAAAACTGCTCTTCTAAAAAAGATGTGAAGCTGCAAAGAGGCCACAAGACCCAGTTTCTATTTTTTCTATTCAACTGATGCCAGGAGCAGGTTTACCGCTACCTCCACAGGAAAACAGAAATCATCGGAATGGAAACACAGTTGTTATGTATCAGTATAGTAATATTTTCAGAAGCCCTTGTTGAGAACAGTTAAAAAAATTAAAAGCCAAAATTGATTAGCTGCGAGTTTTTACCTCAGAGTGCAGGTGCTGGATCACAACTGTTAACGCTTCAAACTTCTGGTTACTGCTTGTCAGGAATTTTTTCAGCTGCAGTATGATTCCACTTTGGGTCTCACATTTGGTTTTGTACTGTGTCAACTCGGCTGTTTTTGTGCCAGGCGAATGCACATCTCTGGAGGCTTGAGTCTGCGTGCACGAGCTCTTGGGACTCCGCTGCTTGCCCTTGTCAACTAAAACAACAACCACCACCACAGTTAATACACATTTTCTGTCTCACCAAAACTTAAGACAGGTGCAAAAGAAAGTAGTTACAAATTCTGCTAAACACTAAGTAGGAGAAAGTATTCTGTGACTGACTTACCAGCATACTCTTCACACTGTGCTCTGAATAAATATTTAATTAAATGCAAGATCCCTATTATCCTACCTATCCAGTAACTTATTTCTAACATGAGAGTTGACCACTTGTTTCCAAAATGGATTTCTTACTTCCCACTCTCTAAAGTATTGCTGAATACAAAACCATTTTCCCCACATTTACTTAGTCTTTTTCATCCTTTCAAAATTTTCATTGCAAAAACCCCACTCTCTGCAGCTCAGGCTTGAGCTTTATTAACTAAAGGTCTTGCAGCATTTCATAGTGTCAGCAATTTCAGTCACAAGGATGAGACTTTTAAAAAATGCTGTAAAATGTAATATATTTCAAGTTGGACCATGAAGAGTGGCAGGGCAAAGAATTACATGGTTGATTTAATATTCCTAGTGATGTTGCAACCTCAATCCCTTCACAGAACACAATCATCTCATGTCAGAGGAAACCACATTACATAATCCAGCGCTCGACTCGTAAACACCACAGAGGTTACAGGTTTCTCTGCTGCCTTCAGACCAGAAAGGGAGCACAGTGCTGCTGTGCAGATAGGGCCAACCTTCCCCGTTTGGTCACACGGGGAAACGAGCAAACACTTTTGCAATAGAAGGCTGATGCAATACGTAAATACCCCTTGGCAATTTCATGAAGACATCTAAGCAGATCACTTTGTACAGTTTCAACTTAACAAGATTTCTTCAAGATAAAGTGAAAAAACCTGAGAGGTGAGATTTGGAGAAGAGAAAAATAAGAACAGGGCGACAAGCTAACCAACTAGAAGTGGATGCTCATTAATCCTTTCTGAAGCCCAAGCACCTAGTTTGAAGGTTGTCAAGTGCACTGAAATAGTCCCAGCAGTGTAAAGTTCAATCACACAACTGGAGACAGTACTGATAACAAAAGCTTTGACTCTCAGCTAACGTTGGCCTGCCTGACACACCAACTATTGCATTAATACAGTCTTTCACAGTCTTCACTTGTTTTCAAAGCATTGAAAACAATTCCCTGTTCGAAATACTGATGTCCTCTGTGGCTCTTACTAAGCCAAGTATAATGTGCCTCCTAAGCTTATTAATTTTCCAAATAAATCCTCTCTAGGCAAGATTTTCTGTCATCCTTCATAGTTAGAGAATTGTCAGCATATTGCTTTATCCTGTTCAGATGTTCTTGCATTCTTGGAGGTAAATCCACACTTCTGCTCAGAGTTTGACTGTTAAAAAGTACCTTGGAAACATACCATCTTGCAGTTTAATAGTAGAGCTGTTAAAAGGCGCATCAACATGACAACACAAATCAGAACACAAATCTGTAGGGAAAAGATAAAGCTTGGCTGCCAGTTCTAGTTAGCTTATTTTTACGACCATTTTAACTAGCGTCACCACTTATTTTCTCGCAGTGCAGACAAAGAGATACCCTTTGAGTAGACCTCTTAAATGTGAATTGTCAAGTCATTTAGAGAGCAACTGTGTCAGATTTCCAGAAATCCTAGAGAAAATAATGTGTTTAGGAAAATACTGGTTACCTTCTGATAATCCTTCAAAAAATGACAAAAGACAATAATCAAGGGGGGGGGGGGGGAAGAGCCGGGACTAGAGAATAAACATGTACAGTCAGTCCTTCCCTGCCCTACTGGCTCACATACTCCTACACTCTCATATATTCCACCTCCCTTCCTGAATGCTCCACTTACAAGAAATAGAGAACTAGAGCATTCTTCTTAAGGGTATTGGGTAAATCCACTGATACAGATGCTACTGTCATCACTTAATTATCTGAAACAACTTTTACATCTGTTTGTAGGACTCTATCAGAGCTGTGTTAAACCTGAACAAATGTTTGCAGACATTTTTTTATTCTGGGAAAAAAATTACATCACATACTGTTACCTAATGAAGTTATTTAATTTAAATACAGTGATACAGCAGCTATCCACAAATGACAGAAGACTCTAGATACCCAGTTTGCCAGTTTCACACCACTGCTTTTATCATGGTGCTCAGACTACCAAGTATTTTCCTAGAAGCTCATTCAAACATCCAACCAAGCCAACCCTGGATACTGTACTAAAAAAAGCTGAACAAAACCCATGCACTAGAGAAATCCAGTGACATTCCTTTTGGCAATTTTATCACAGACATGTGCTATACACAGCCACTTCAAATGTTGAGAAGCATTTCTCTGCTAGCATGAAACCTCTGCAGCACACACTGCCTCTACAGATTAACACCAGCAACACTCCAATGCTTATTTATGGCCTGCGTTCCTCTGGGCAATGACAGATTGTTTCCAGATTTGAACAGAAGGCATGCTGTGATATCAAAACAAAAGCCATGCTTTCATTAAAACAAAAGCATCATGAGTCTAATTACTGATACCAATCCATCAGTGGTGGTCTCTAAATTAAAGACAGCATTGGTTACCAGCCTCCTCACTTTAACCTTTTTACTTACCACCTTCTTGAGGTACATTCTCAAATACTACATGTAGTACAGTAACCAGACAGAATCACCATCTAAGGGCCTAGCCTTTTTCATACCAGTAAAATAAAATAAATTAAATTAGCTGTGATTTTGCAAAGACTAAGCCTTTTGATAACTAAATCATTCACAGAAGATTCGATATCCTGCTGGCAAAAGAACTTGGAAAAGGTCCAAAAATCCTCCTGCTCCTTCTGAATTCACTATAAAAGATGGCAAGCTGACTTCAGTTCTTTGGAGAGAGTATTAGACCCATCCCAAGTTTTTCCATAAAGCAAACTGTTTCCCATACCTGGCTTCTCTAGTTAATAGGTGTTCAAAAGCAAGAAATATACAACTGTCTGTACGTCAAGGTGTGTTCCATGGAGTTACCCCAGCTGAGGTGCTGGGGTATTCCCCGGTACCTGACCAGCTATTTCAGAACTTGTCTGGTACCCACTGGTTTCCTGAGCCTATCTTGTGCACTGTTGCTGGATTACCAGATGAAACATCACCCACTTTTTGATTTGCAGAGCCAAATCATAGCCTTCCTTTGCTTATTGTGTACTAGGAAGGTCTGTGTAGTAGTGTCTATACTAGGAATTATTTTCTTTAAGCAGAAGATTAAATTTCTAAAAAACCCCACCCCCAAAGAAAACAAAAGAACCCCAAAACATTTCTTAAGAGCATTTCAAATACCCTAAACAAACTGCTTAAGAAGCACAAGTAGGAACCACCTCACTTCTTTCCCCACAGTTTTGCAGTCACCATTGTCTTACCCCTAAGCACCTTCTTTTCACATTCCTCATCCAAACTGTTAGCTTCCACAGGTTTTTCAAAACCCATGTGTGTCTTGTGTAAGCATTTTTCAAAGAAAAATCCTTGTTCAACATTTTCTCTTGTAGGAAGATGCAGGCTGGTAAAAACTTTCTGCCTCTCCTCCATTTGCTGGAAAGCCTTGTCTACACATGTTAAATTGGTGCTCACTTCTTTGATCAGTAAGACCAGATCAGCCTGAGTATTTAATCGAGTTTCCATTTCTTCTCTTACTCGCTGAATTTCCTCGAGCACAGTTCTTATATCCAAGTGACTGGACTTCACCTCTGCTTTCAGATCTTCTTTCATCTGTTGCTGGCTCCTCTGCAGGGCTAACACCGTTCTGATTTCCTTTCGAGACGTTTCCATGTCGTGCCTTAGTTCCCTCTGTCCAGCCTGCATCTCCTCCTGGCTAGCTTTCACTTCTGCCAACAGTGCAGCAAGGCACTCCATCCTGATCCCACGACAGACGCAGGACCTCTTCCAGCGTCGCAGTTTTCAAGCAGTCAGGGACATCTGTGAGCTGGTAGCAGATTTCCCCAGATAGCAAGAGAGCCAGCACATAGCCCTTGGTATGGTATCCTACCTCAGTTTACAGCATGCTGCAGTGAAGGCACCAGGTAAGAGTCTAGTACAAGGTTAGACAAAGGCACCAAATAAAATACTTCAATAAGCAGGCTGAGAACTCAGCCAGAGCCCTAATCAGTTTAATTGGCAGATTATGCCACACCTGAATTTTTAAAAATCTTTTGCTGACATCATTGTACGTGGGACGTCACCCCAAAAGCCACTCCCCAGCAGTCATTAGATCTCTGCATCAATCAAAGTATGCCTGGGCATCAGTAACCAGGTCTGTTGCAACGCAGCCAAGCACTCTGCAAGAACGCAGCAGCCCTTCCTTTCCAACACAGGCTCAAAAGGAGCCCAGAGTGCCTGCAGGAGCAGAAAGACAAACAGTTCAACAGTGCTTAGTTATTTCAAGGTGATTATGCACCTGTCCTTCTGCTCATGTTTGCAGGGTGGGTTCAGGAGTACATCTGTGAGCACCTTGGACATTGCCCCACTCCCACTGAACGCCCTCCTCATTCCCACAGCTAGCAATGCTCTTTTAGCAATCTTTGGAAGAACCCATATCCTGAGAAAGCCCCTCCAGTCCACAAACAATAGTTACCAAAGGAATATGGGAAAACTGACTAATGAGAGGTTTTTGGCAGGTTAAAGTGGCTAAGCCTTTTAGCTGCCAGGTCTGAGTGTTAACTTCTGTCTGTAAAAGCAACGGCTTCTTTCTTTTAAGCACAAAACTCATTATAGATCTAGGCTCTTATCTAGAAATAGGTAGATTAATGTCACCAGGCTGTTAACTGCTTTGTTACACAGCAATTTAATTAATCATTGGATTCAGTTTGGAAAAAGCGACCAATACAACATAGATCTTGGCCTACAGATGAGGTCCATCTCTGCCTTCAAAGAGGTGAGCTGGTATTCAGTGCAACACCCAGCAGAGCAGGACTCAGAGCAGCGCACAGGTTGGAGCTCAGGAGAGCTTTTACACCACAAACAGGCCTTGTCATGCCTCCAGGATGCTTTT